AATCATGTTACAGTTAGCTTTTTATTTCTAAAGTAGTCTCTTTGGAGCTCAATTTGTATGCTGCCTTGTACTAAAGAGGTGAGGGATGTGTTTGCTGTTTCCCTACTCCCTCTCCCATCTGCCATGATTTACGGTTGCTGAAAAGTGCAGTTCTCTTCTTAGTTGTCACCTCACTAGAAATATATGAACAATTAGTCTGTGTGATACAGACTGTCTAGGCCAGTCAGGCTGGGGGTTAAAGAACAGGCTTGACAAGACTAGGTGTCTACATGGTACGGTGATAGACCCTATCATTAGCTAGCCCTACCTTAATGTAGCCTGAAATAGATGAATAGCACCTGACACTAACCAAGGAATTCTTTTTGGTCATAAAAATTAGTGTTCAGAACTCCACACATCCTAAGTATTCATTGGCAGCAGTGCAATTTAAGGCTATCCATGACTGACTGACAGATGTCTGTTGATAAGATATAATTTCCAGCTCTGCGGTACTGTTCAGTATCTGAAGTCTGGTTTGAAACTTAATATTATCATGTGTTGTTCTGTGGATGGGAAGTCTTCAGAGAAAGAAGGCATCATATGTTTGGCAATTTTGCTGGGTTTCTCTATTATAAGTAGTTACCTGAGAATAAGTAGTTACCTGAGGTTTCTGGTGAAAGTGAAACTCAATTTTATTTCTTTTGGGATCTAATGAAGCGTGGGCATATTGCCTCTCTCTCTATCAACAGGAGAGGTTGCTACTTTTCTTGCAATCCCCTTCATGAAACTTTTAAGACTTAAAGGATGTTTACTGGCAGATGATGTCGGCAGAAATATTGCTTTTTAGTAAAATGTCGATTATTGAACAGTTCTTGCCATTCTCCATTCATGTAAACATAGATAAGAGACAAGGTGAGACCTACATCCCTGTTCCACTCAGGCGGGAAATTCTGTTTTTCCCAATTTTCTTCCTTCTGGGCATTGTGATGTCACTACGGTCAAACTGCCAGTTGTGAAGGTGCATTTGTACATTTATATCACCAAAGCTATGCTGATTTATGCTGACCTAATATCTGTCCTTTTTTGTGCAGCCACGGCGCAAGAATTCACTTGCCAGTGCCTCCAAAGTGTATCACTATCAGTAAATTTACTGCTAAGAGTCACTTTTGTTTCTGGTGTTTTTTTGCTACTGTGAGAGACATCTTTTCCTATGTTTTGTTCCCATGGAATCCAAGTTGCCCTGTTCTTCACCTTTCATACCAGCACCAAAGGAGCTGTTAGGACCTTGATGCTCTGTCCTCATTTCAGTGCAGGTTCTGGCTTGTCTA